CGCCACTTCCACAGAATGGGCCCCGTGTTGTCTTCCCTCATACATCTCATCTTTAAGTTTTATGAGAGGAAAAATAGACTTCATATTAAATATCTCTTAGGTAAGATTACTGCACCTCTGGAGCACAAAATCCATAGATGGTAAAATCTCCAGTTTTCCCAAAGCTTTAAGACTTCAGCGTACCTAGGACTTGGTGTTTATACTGAGTCGGTTTGATTCACACCAACATCTGTTTTTGATAAAATAATAGGAAATGTGATATCTTAATGGTGGACCAGAATCAAGCTCCACCCTCCTCCTTGTTCTTTGTCTTTCTCTTCAGTACTTCCCATCACGTCTGCTCCTCCGGTTTGTAAATGACCATGATGTCTAACAACTCACTGGATCCACCTGCCCTGGGTTTCCACTTCCCCTAACACGCGTGGGCTGCCCACGGCAGCGAGGCCTGTGCTGTGCGGTCTTAGAAGGTCGGTCTCATGATTTCTCAGGTTCGGTCCATGCACGGAGTGTTGACTCAGGCCAGATCCCGGCTCTAATCCTCGCATCCTCCAGGGAGCCTCAGCCCTGTACACGGACATGTTCTCCTCCAGCTCTTACTTGAGGCATTAGCACTTTGGTCTTAAAGAAAGGCTGCTTGGAGCTGTGATTTAATTTTTTTTTCAGCCTGCATCTGAATATTTTTTCATCAGTACCCACGCAATGCCTAACACGATGCTAATGCATCGTACGGGTGCCTCCAATGTAGGCCTGGATGAATGAGAGGTAGAAACCTGTCTGCATGCGACAGCATCTTTTGTCTTTGGGGACAAAGCTGTGTGTCAGATTTCAGGCTTAAAACAGCAAATTTTGGGTGAAACTGTCCATCACTTTTATACCCAATTGTTTCATGGATCTGGAAAAGCTATGATCACATATGAAGACAGAGTGAAACAGAGTGTCATTAAGGGGTGGCATTCGGCTGGGTCCAGATATAGGATGTGGGAAATGAACAAGTCATCCCAGATCTGGCCCAAAAATTGATTAACCTGCCTTCTGTCCTTGCTCAAACACACAAAGCAGGTTCTGGGAAGTCACCTGATCTTCCTAACCAGATTCTACCTCTTCATCTGCAGAACAAATTCCAGCAGGAATCGGAGGCATCCATTTGAAGATCTAAGTTTCTATGCCATGGGGCCATTGTGAACCTAACCTAGCCCAAAACTTCCCACCCCAAAAGAAAACTTGCTTGCAGTTCTCAGAGCTAGTGGGATAATCGTGATGAGGTGGACAGGCCATAAGACCACTGAAAAATGACCCTTAGAATTAAGGACCAGCTGTCCCCTCTTCCTAGATATCCTGGACACCCAGGCATCCTACTTTGTTAGAAACCAGTTTAATGAAGAAGGGAAAGAGAGAGAAACTCCTAATCAATAAAAGCCTGCACTGCTTTAAGTCAGAAATACTGGGTTACCCATCTTTAGTTTTCAAATTTAAATTCTTCCTCAGAACTTAGGCAGCTTATTCGCCCGACCTCTTGGTGATTGCCCCTGGCGTGGGCCAGGAGGAGAACCAGCAGCTCCTGTGAGCCTCCCGGCACTGGGGCTGAGAATTAACATCCACCCCCCACCGTAGCTACTGGGGACAGATGTCTCAGCATCTCTTGGGAGGATGACCATATGCAATATAGCAAGTATGAGGGATTTCCTTCTATCTTCTGTTTGAAGGCAAAGCTTGTTTTGTTTTGTTATGTTTATTTTGCTCTATTCAATATTCTCTTTCACTTGGTTTTATAATGTTCTGGCTTTGGTTTGATTTCACTATACCTAATTGACTGGACAACTATTGTGAAGATAACGAGCTATCGTATGGTACCTATTACTGTTATCCCAGTAACCTGCTGTGAAGTTCTGTACCAATTTCACTGCACTGCCTTGATTGGCTTTGTTCTGTCATGTTCTGTTGTATTTTTACTACTTTCAAAATAAAATTAAATTCTTCCTCAGTTTCCAATTCATCTACTGAATGAGATTAAAAAATAAGTTGAGCTCAGCTGTATTTTATAAAAGAGAAAGCCCTACAGTACTATAGAAAGCCACCATTTGGGGACTACACTCCTATGCCCCGGGCCCCAACTAGACTAAACATCAAAATGGAGTCGCTCGTGCTGGGCTCCACATCCCCAAACTGAAGCTGAGTCATTCCCTGGCCTCCCGTATCTAACAGCCAAATATCCAAAAGCAAAACAGGCCAGTTTGTTCTGTATGATAATAAAGTTCCCTGGATCTTAACCCTTGCCAAAAATAACCTGAAATCTCCAGAGTTAACCCATCATCTGTCTATTTTTCTGTCTTATCTTTGTTATCACCATCATAGAAGGAAAATAACAGAAATCACTGATCCACTCTTTGTTCTTAGATTTTGCTTTGTTGAGCCAGCTCATTTTACTTTATAGAATAACATGTTGTTAGATCCTAGAATTTCAAATAAAGTCATTTAAGATGTTTAAACTTTTATTTCACACTGTCTACTAGAACATCCAGTACTTATGGTCAAGCTGAGTCTACAAAAATGAGGAAAGCCCTGCGATGTATGGAAAGAACATATTTCTCTCTCTCTCTCTCTCTCTCTCTCTCTCTCTCTCTCTCTCTGTCTCTCTTTATTTTTTTTTTTCTTTCCTTTGTTCTCTTTCTTTCATTACCCTAAACCACAAGCAATTCCAAAGTCTAAATTTAAATATTTGTTATTCTAACATAAATTCATGGGTCTGATGCTTTACTGGGTGTTAGCTTAAGATAATGTCTCAAAATATCCTGAGGATAAGAGACGTCTGTTGGCAAAACTCAGTTCAGGCTTTGCCACCTGAGAGACTTAATTAGAGTGGGACTCAGGGATCTTTGGGGGTTTTTTTCAGGGAAGGGTTTTTTTTTTTGTTTTTTGTTTTTTTTTTTTGTTTTGTTTTGTTTTGGTTTTGGCCATGCTGAGGATTGAACTCAGGGCCTTCACCCTGAGCTACCTCTCCAGCCCAGTTTTACTTTTTGAAACAGGGCCTCACAAGGTTGCTAAACTGCCCAAGTTGGGCTTGAATTTGTAATCCTCCTGTCTCAGCCTCCTAGAGAAGTAGGATTACATCCATGTTACATGGCTTTTCTTTTCTCTCTCTCTCTCTCTCTCTCTCTCTCTCTCTCTCTCTCTCTCTCTCTCTCTCTCTCTTTGATGGCCCCAGGGATTGAATCCAGGGCCTCATGCAGGCAAGGTAAGAGCTCTACCACTGAACCACATCTCCAGTCTTCTGTTACCTGGCTTTTAAAGCAGTGATTCTCACTGTGTGGTCCCTGGACCAGCAGTCTCAAGAAGTTATTACAAATGCAAATTCCCAGGCTCCACCACTGCCTTCTGGAAATGATAATCAAGCAGTCAACAAAAGTTTCTTAGCAGACCTAAATGCCACTCACCAATGCACAGCCCCACACACCTCTGAAGCCAGCAAGAATCTGTGCAGCATCTCTGCTCCCCATGCTGCGGGATGCAGAGACAGAGCTCCTGGGCTCTGCTTCAGGTGAATCTCTGGTGGAGCCTTGTAAGCTCTGGCAGCCCAAGAAGCACCTCAGAATCCAGCTCTCAGTGTGGGGCCAGGCACTAAGAAAGGTTTAAAGCGCTTGGGTGACTCCAGGGTGCAAAGTCTATAAATCACAGCAGCAGCACCTATCAAAGCCCTCACCAAAGATAACAATTACTAAACATAGGTGAGTGAGGGATTAACAGAGTCTAAAGGGGGCCCACTCGGAATTTTTTTCATTTATCCAGGGCTTCAAAAGAAGTGTTTAGGATCAAGGGCACCTGGGAGAGGAGCCAGGCCATCACTAGAGAGCTCTGAGCACACCCACATTCTCCTGCTGGATTCCAGAGACCCAAGAAGGTTAGAGCAGAAGTGCAGGAGTGGGTAATCCTTCCTGCCTGGACCCTCTCTGAACCAGGGGAATGGGAGCGCACTTTCACTAACATCTGCCACAGAGCCCGGAAATGGGGATGAGAAAGCCAGAGGCGAGGGGAGAAGAAAAACCAACCTAGGTAAGTCCCCAGACTGGCCTCGGGGCCTCAGTCATCTCCTGTTTAACCTCACAGAGCAACTCCACCAACTCAGCAGGGAGGGAGCTGAGACCAGGACAGGTGCACAGCTCGGGTCATACCTAGGAGGGCCTAAGGTATTCATCCATCAGGACTGGAAGGCTCAGGATGGATGCAGGGCTCCAGAGAACAGGAGAGAGAGATGGAGAGACTGATGGGAGCCGCTGGGTCAGATACACGGAAGTGGAGCTGGACCAATGCAGGTGTGTGTCTGGGTCCACTGGAGGAAGGGGTTTCCCACAGAGTCTGGAGCAGGGGGCTGGGCAGGGCGGGAGCCACCTACCAGCAAGGACAGAGGAAGTCCCCATTTAGACAGCCCTGGTTTAACCTGGAACTGATGTACAGCATAAGAGTTTTATGGTTTAGGACACTTCAGTTTTTCAGAGCCCTTTGGCATCTCCCTAACTTACCTTAATGAGGTCCCAGATGCCTTAACTGAGCCGCAGGCACAAGCGCATTGAGCTGAACCCCTGAAGAGGTAGCTCTCCCGCCCCTAGAGGCCCATGGGTACTCTACACTCACACACTACTCAAAAGTCTTTCGTGAAGCAGTCAAAGAAAACTCCTATAGCATCTGCTGCAGGGAAAAGTTGAAGATACTGCCCAGGTCAAACCAGGGCAGATCTCATCAGAAATATTTTTCTTCCTTTTCCTTCCTTTCTAGAAACAGTTTGTTTTATCATTTCTGAATATGAGAATTAGATCCTAATTGTCCCTCTCTTTCTATCTTCCTATCATTTCTTAAAGCTGTTAGAAAGGACAGAGCAAACTACAAATGCAAATGTATGTCAGGGCTTTATAATTTATACCAGGAGATCTCAAAACCACTTTTGTTTTTTTAGATCTTGTCGTCCCCATTGGGAAAAATTTGAGAACACTTTATGAGAGACATGCAATTATTTATTTACTTGTACATTATATCCATGGGCCTCTATCATCCCCTGATAGTGTAAATCATGAGGCCAAGGCTCACTGTTAGTGACGGGGATGTTGATCATTGAAAGGGGCCTTCTAATAATTCTCAAGTCATTTCAGCTTCTTCCTCCAGACACAGCACCTTGCTCTGTCATTAAGTTCACTTTGAACGAGGTGGACAAAGGTTGGTCTGAGTGGCAGAAGCACCAGCCCGGCCATTTACAAGTTGGTCTGAAGGTAACGCTAGCATGACGGGCAAAGCCAGCAGTTTCTTTGCAGGAAGCTGCTACCCCGCTTCTTGAGGATGTTCTTGAACATGCATGATGCACAGTAGAAAGCCACACAGCCGAGCACACTCATTACACATGGCTGCAAGATGCCTCTGCCTGCAGAAGGCAACTAGACCAGTGAGGCTGCTCCACCAGCCGAGGTGTGCAGACGCTGGCCCCCAGCACCTTGGGGCTCGGTGGCTTCTATGTCATGGGCCAACAGTGTAATAATCTGCATGTTAAATATTATTAAATCCCCTGATGCCTCTCTTGAGGAAAAAAATGACTAAAAGGAATTAAAGTTGTAATATAGATATTTTTTCTTTCCACACCGCAAGTTGTTACACACATGTGCACTGTTGGGGCCCTTGTCTGCCTTTATCTTTTTCTCTTTACCTCTGTTGTCCCTCTTCCCTCGCGTCCTTTAAATTTTTACTCACCAGTAGTCTTGCCTGGGCTCTCAGCAAATCTTTACAGAATGAGAGCACACACGCTTATGCGCTAAGAACAGAATGGATCCCAGAAACTGAACAAGGGCTTTCAATGACCATCTTGTTGTCTTCGCCAGACAGACGTTTAGAAATTGGTGCACTTGGTCCTGTCAGGCACCTATACTGGCATCTGTATTCAAGGTTACACTCAGAATAAAGAGGAGCTAGCATTGGTTAGCAAGTGAAATTGAAAGAGACTTTAACAAGATGTTAATTGTTTACCAAAGCAGGTGAAGATTGGTGACAGAAGCCTGGCACTGTGGCACATGGGCTATCGTCCCAGCTACGCACTTAGCAGGCTGAGGTACGAGGATTGTTTATGCTCAGGAGTTAGAAGCCAGCCTGGGCAATGAACATAGCAGAACCCCACTCTAAAACAAAAATTGATGACAAAACTCTCACTCTAGATTTTATTCCAGTTTGTTTGTTGAAACACTATACAATCCAGACTAGTCCTGAACTCCCTACGTATGCCAGGCTGGACTCACATTCACCATCCTTCTGTCTCAGCCTCCCGGGTACTAGTGTTGGTCTCATTCTTATATGTAGAAAAAATATTCTTTGCTAGGAAAAAAAAATTTCTAGATTCTTCAAGGTTAATATGGATGCCTTGCAAAACCCCATGGAGCTCAAGAACTTTCCAATCCCTCCTCCGATAGGCGCATCAGCCTGTGGTCTAAGATGACAGCTGCACGCACCGCATGTGCCTTTGCCAGGCCAACGGCAGAAGGGAATGGGGTGGTGGCCCTTAAGGACACCCCACAGGAATGTTCCTACCACTTCCCCTACATCTCATCGGCCAACATACAGTGAGCCACATATAGGTGGGTGGGAAAGGCAGGCCCTAAAACTCAGGGAGCACAGTGAGCAGGCACTACCACATCTGCTTTTCAAAATTGAGATTTTAGGGGGCTGGGGATTTAGCTCAGCAGCATAAGCGCCTGCCTTGCAAGCAGGCAGTCGTGAGTTCAATCCCTGGTACCAATAAAAAAATTTTAAAAATAAAAAAATAAACTCAGGGAGCCAGTGAGAAGACTCTGCCACATCTGCTTTTCAAAATTGAGAGTTTCATTAGCAAAGTACAGAATCTGACATTAGAAGTACATTCCAGAATGTCGAGTTTTGGTTGTTTTTTTAAAATTTTGTGTTAGTGTTTGGTCCCTCACAGAGCCATTCTCTGTCACCACCTGGGGGTATTTAAGAATTATCTTGGGGATATACTGTATAAAACAGAAGCCCTGGAAAATATCTCAGCGAATGCACAGTTAATATTAGCCATGTGTTTGGACATACGGAAAGGCAAACTTTCTGTGTCTAATGGAAACCTGCCACGGCTTGATATGATGGTAGCCTCCTCAATAAAGACATAAGCTTTCGCAAACCTGATCCTCCTTCAAATGCTTGAGGGAAGTCAGCTATTTAATGAAACCACAGTGAATCCTGGAGGGAAGACTCCCATCTTACAATGCGAATAATTGCACACTATACATCTAGATCAGAATTGGAAATGTTCATGTATCAGGTTTTTCCAAAATCATCTCATGGGTGATTTTAGCAGACTGAAAAAGACCTCTGAAACAAACTCAAAATGCAAACCTCACCCTGGGTCATTATTCCTCCTTTGAAATCTCATCTCTGCCACCCCCTAAGAGCCCACTGGTCAGTGGGTTTTGCTGCTTCCCTGCAGATCTGAGGCCCACAGCTGGAGCCATGGGCAGATGTTGAGGGACAATCATCCTCCTGTGACTAAAAAGGAGCCAGGGAGAGAATTCACTGTGCTGTGACACACATTTCTTATCTTGTGGGGGCCAAATGTCCAAATACTGCAAGAAGCCCCTCACGAAATGAGACAGGCTGTGACCCAATAGTGAGCCCTCCCTACTTTTGGGAGCACCTAGTCCAGTGAGGGACTTTGCAGTCTATAACCAGTCACCAAGGGACCAGGAAACAAGCAGCTTCTCATCTCCCAGGCCTCGCTGTCCCCCAATAAACTGAGAGCACTTGCTGGCTTAGGTCGCAGAGTACTTTAGGCTCTAGAGAGTTCCACTGAGCTGAAGAGGAAAGCTTGGGGCAGGGCTTACATTTATCAGAGTACCTTGCGGGGAATAGAACTGCCACCCCAAGAGGTGGGGTTTTCAAAGCTGACACCACGTGAGGCCATTTGCCCACCCCATCACCATGACCGCCAATCCAACGAGGAGAGGAGGGAACTTTTATCTCTCTTTCATGTTTTTCCCCTTATGAATTTTAAGGAAAAGAAGAAAATTATAAAATCAGGAGCCTGCACATCCCCTGAGACACGTATATTTAAGCTGGACCAAGCACTACCCTCCTATCACAGGCAACAATTTCACCCTGGCAGGGAAATGGACTAAGTGACTTAATGGATATTTTCCATCTCTAATTTCCATGATTAAAAGAAAGAGGTTGAGAGGGGTACATGTGGAGCCTATTGTGAGTTTGCCAATGAATCCTAATTTAGATCAAAGAGAATCTATGTGACACTGAACCATAAACACCCTAGTGTGCGTTACTTCAAGGAAGTTGTTAGTGTGTTCCCGATGGCTATTATGTGATATAGTTGCGCTCTATAGCCTGCACCCTTTAATTACTAATATAGAAGAAAATCCCATATAAGAGGGAGGAATGTAAATGAGACCTCTGCTCTTTTGAACCTTTTATGCATTTGCCAAATTAAAATTTGCTGTGGACTTTGGTTTTTTCCCTGATCGCTGTTGGTAGTGATCAGTTAGCTCATGGGATTAAATCTGACTTTCCAACAACTATTTCCGATCAGTGTGCAGATTTCAGACCTTTATGTTTGCTTTGCACTAAGACATGGATCATCAGAACCAGATTGGGAGCAACTTTGAAGTTTTCAAAGGTATGGAAGAAATCCTCTCCCATTCTCATCTTTCCTTCTGCTGATCATTGTTCAGGTGCAGGTTGGGGGCCTGCAGCGGTGAGGGGGCCCCAAGGGGTCCAGAGCCGCAGTATTCCACCGCACTCCTGCACTACCTGCAGTGGGGTTTCAAGCAGAGGACTGTGCTTCAGCAACAGCATCCGGATTGCCAGACACAGCCACACTCCTGAAGCGGGGGCTGCTCACACTGACTTTTAAAGCACAATTCCAACACGAGGACAACCATAAATGTCAACCACAACGGCACGATTTCGATGATACTTGTTTCTCTAGGATTCTTCTGCCCTCAGCCCACAGGCAAAAAGAAAATTGATAACAGCTTTGCACTTAAATGAAGAACTAAGTGTGGGAGCAGGCCCTGTACGAAAGCGAAGATGCTATTAGACAGAATGACTGCCGAAGATGTTAGCCCGTCAGTGAGACTGCCGGGCCCTGTTCTGTATCTTGTTCAATAACGCAAACTCCTTCTTTGCCATCTGTCTCTTACTGAAAGAGATAATAATAAAATCATTGCTTAATGAGTAAACTAAGTAGAAGATAATTCCCTGGTAGATCATATTGGTTTTCTTCTCCAAAGGATGCTATTTTCTCAATGAGGCAGAGAACACGGGGGAGAGCGTGTGATCATGCATAAACAGGGACATCTAAAATCGAAACCCAGCACAGCATATGTCATTATTTAAAGCCCCATCAAAGAAACATCCAACTTTTCAGCTGTAACCCAAATATAAATTTCCCTTACCCTGTCAATTAGCAGATTACAAAACTTCTGTAGCAGGAAGACCATTTTGCCAGCAGAGCTGCCGTGCTTGGACTGGGTCCAGGTCAGACAGATGGCGGGGAAAAGGGTGCAGTGAGACGTTCCCTATCGGCAGTCAACTGTTTGGTGCAGCAAACGGAACCTCCGAAGGGCTGAGCCACAGGGTGAAGCGCAGCCCCCGCACAGCTGGAGAGGCATACAGATGTGTAGCCGTACCAGAGGAGACAGGACTAGCACAAGAGTCTGCCAAGGGAAGCATTTAAACAGGAAAATATGCAAAACATTAGATAATTAGAAACCTTGTTCTTTGGCACCTAAAAGGTTCCTACCCACCCATCCTAACGGATGAGCATAAAAAGCAGTCATGACTTCTCCAAGTGTGGTATGATTGTGTAAGCCACGGTAATAGAGTTCTTACTCCCTGTGGAACACTGACTACACCACACACAATCAAATGACGTGACTGTGGGGGGAGGGCACACGTGCTATACTGTGTTAAACGCCACCTGTCCACATAATGGTCTATTTGTAAAACTTGTTCTCATGAAACCAGAAAAGCTTGATTCAAGGGATGATGGCTAATAAGGTTATTTCCCTAGAAACAACAATAATAGCTTCCTGATTTTCAAAAGTGATTTTTTTTTTTCCTTCAGAGACAGGATCTCTCTATGCAGTTTAGGCGGTCTTTACCTTGTGGTGATCCTCCTGCCTCAGCCTCTCAGGTACTGGGATTACAAACATGAGCCACCATGCCCAGCCTTTAAAAGTGAACTTTATACCTGCCTTTGCAAGCAGGCGGTCGTGAGTTCAATCCCTGGTACCGATAAAAATGAAGAAGACAAAAATTAAATAAATAAATAAATAAATAAATAAATAAGGGCTGGGGATTTAGCTCAGCGGCATAAGCAGCTGCCTTACAAGCAGGCAGTCATGAGTTCGATCCCTGGTACCGATAAAAAGTAAAAAAAAAAAAATAAATAAATAAATAAAAGTGAACTTTAAAATGAAAAAACACTCACTGATGATATTTAAAAATTTTTTAAATTTCCTTTCATAAGACCAAATAGATAAAATTATTTCATTAAAAATATTTTAGATCAGTGAGTGTCTTTACTTTTCTCTCATTAACCACTTAGTAGTTTATCCCAGCATCACTCAGGCAGTGATTTACACACTGATTATCCTGAGCATCTCTTGGACTGGGGTCATTTCAACCAGTCAATTCTCACATTAAATAAACTATTGTCATTTTTATACTTACTGTTATAAAAATTTTTTAATGTGCATTTTCAGTCACACTGTATTTAAATCATTGGACTGGTAAGTGATTAAATGAATCATGATTAGCTACTTGTAAATACCACACTTGGAGAAGTCATGACTCTACTTTTTATGCTCATCTGCTTAGGACAGGTGGGCAGGAAATTTTTAGATGCCAAAGAACAAGGTTTTCAATTATCCAACAATGTACCAGCACTTTACATGTGGCAACTCACGTAATCTTCTAAACGACCTTGAAAAATGAAATTATTCCCTTCACCTTCAAGAGGTTAAAGATCCAAGAGTGGACTCGGCCACATTCTGACAGTGACACACAACCTCCACTCCATCCCGGTGCCCCAAGGAGGGAGGCAGCTGTTGGTCACAAGTTCCAAGGCTGACTTGGTCTTTAGTAAAGCAGTGCCACCTGGGGCCCGGTGGATCAGGGACCTTACGCAACCCAGCTGGTTGCCCTCATGTCAGAGTCTCTAGTTTGGCCGGCTCAAGCTCTTGGCTATTGGAACATGAAGCATTCTGTTCCCAAGCACAAGAGTCCTGTCTTTTAGAAGTTCTTCCTGAAAGTGACCCTGTAGGACCAAGAATCTGCTTGTACCTTGACACCTGTCTGCCAAGTAAGAGATTTGTAAACAGGAAAGATGGTCACTGTACTTTTGATTTTCATGGCGCCCTTTCACTACCAAATTTCAGTTCTTTTCCTTATGCTCTTTTTTGCCCACTCATCCACAGTGGCTTGCAGGCAGTGGGCTTCCTATATTGAGCTACAAGGCCCAAGGAAGGGTCTTCTTATACTGAAATAGTGCAGAGATACGGAAATCATGATCCTAATGATAATAATAATGGATTTCATTTTTTTCCCAGTTGTTTTAGCAAAAGTTAACCCTGCCTTCATATACACGCTATCTTTGTTTTTGCTTTTTGACATGATCTTGACCAAACAAAATAGGAGAGAGAAGCCAATGCCATGCACTTCTACAACAGACCTGATTAAAGAGAATGCAAACCTGGTGTTGCGTTCAGTACCATAGGAACTGCAAAACCTAGGCAAGGTTGACCTGGCAAGCCCGCAGGGGCATTTTATGATTAGCACTACCATTTTCAATTCAGAACTCCCATAAGACAGACGATCGATTGATTAAAACAACAATTAACGTGGTCATCAGTTCAAACTCTGCAACCCAGGCCTCTGCTCTGTCTCCACACCCCATGAAGAAGAAGGGGGGGAAAAACACAAAAGCCTCATAGAAACAACAATTGCCTATTTTAATCTTGGCAACTTATAACTGACAATTACGTTGTTAATTGATAGTTATTTCACTGAGTTGTCATCCATGTAGATTGCTCAGATTAGCAATGTTGGGTTTGCATTGTGATTAAGCCACTGGGTAGCTGCATAAAAACTGTTGTATTCTATTACAGATCCATTCTAACATCGCAGAAGAGGAAAAAGGCCAGCCCTGGCTCACAGGCACAGATGACTTGGGAAAGAGGTTGGGAGGTTCAAAGTTCTTGTTGAAAAATGACTTTGAGCAGAATTGTAGGTTAATGAAATTCAACGTTTACAGAAATTTCTTGGGGCTAAAGATTTAGCTCAGTGGCTCAAGCGCTTGCCTGATAAGCTCGAGGTCATGAGTTCAATCCCCAGTATACCCTCAAAAAATAAAATAAAGAAATTTCTTTTTATGTAGATAAATTATTAATTAGGAGGAAGTGACAGTCAGCAGCAAAGCTACTAAGCATGCCAAGGAAAACACTAGTAATGCCAAGAATGAGGCTGATAGGGACCCAGTTTTGTCACTGGAGCCCTATCAATCTCAGGACAAGTGTCCATAGTGGATAGCTACAAGTAGATACAGCTGATTTCTTTTTAGGGCTAGAAACCAGAACAAGTAAAATCCCAAAAAGGATTTCCCTCTGAAGATAGAATTTAGAATAAATTCATAGCCCCAAACAAGATAGCTTTTGTCAATATTATGTCTTTAAAAAAAAAATCAAAGATTTAAACAATTGTATCCATACTACATTTAAAACGTTTAAAATATATCCTTTAATATGTATGAGTCTTATGGCTTTTTTTTTTTTAAATAGGGCTGCTATGTTGTCCAGGCAGGTCTCAAATTCCTGAGCTCAAGAGACCCTCCTGCTTCATCCTGAATAGTTGAGACTGCAGAGGTGTGTCCTTGCAACCCAGTTCATTTTTTGCTTGTTTGTTTGTTTGTTTTGGTATCAGGGATCAAACTCACGACCTCAGCTTGCCAGGCAGGCACTTATGGCACTGCGCTAAATCCCCAGCCCCTTCCCAGCCCTTGTAGTGTGGCTTTTTTGGAAAAACAGATTGAACTCTGAAGATTTTCCTAGTGTAAGCTACAGCTACTTCATTAGTCACAGGAAAAGGCAATTTTGGACAACTGCTGCCAGCAACTCAAGAAGGCCAAAGTGGTCCCTCCTGTGCCCAGGCAGTGCTGGATACAAAGGTGGCAGCTGCCCAAATCATGTGCAGAGGCCCCTGTTGCAACTAAACAGAGATGACAAGTCATGGCATGAGTGTGGACAAAAAAACATTCAAGTCATCAAGCATCTCTTTCATTTCTCTTAAATTAAGTCACACTATCAAGCCTGGCAATAAGTTTTGTGAAGCAAGGGAAACATTCTTCTTTGTATCAACTATACACACATTTTTGATCCATGCTTTTGTGGTAGTCGCATGTACAAGGTGTTCCTCCCTCACACCCTTGGCCTGCTGACATCACAGGTACTTGTAGGTCTCACCTGCACAGATTAAGCTCCCTCTCTGCTGACCCCGCGACTCTAATGTTCCTTCAGATAAGCACTTCTCAGCCACACCATGCTCCAGTTCAGATGGGACAGTCACCACCTGCCAGGCTCCAGAGCACACATGTAACCAGTCAGGGAATTTCATGCAACCTAAGTGCTGTAAATGAATTCGGGCTGAGGACAGAACCGAGTCAGTCTGATGAGAGTCCACTTCAGAAGTTTCTCTTGAACTCCTGGCTGGGCAAAAGGAATAACGTGCTCCTTCTTCAAGCGCTGTAGGGAGCAGGGGGAAAGTAAGCTTGGGGATGCTGGGACACCTTGTGCAGAGAGCCTGACCAAGAGACAGGCTTCCATGAGAGAAGGGGCGGAGGGGTAGAGGCACAGGCTAGCAATTCAGTAACTGTGTTTACATGAAGGTTGATCAAATATAGTGCAGGTAAAGTCAGCCAGGTTCCCAATGAAGAAGTTTATAAAATAGGAAGAGGAAAGGCTAGAATGAACCTTGAGATCTTGGGATTGGAATTGCGGGTACTATATGAGTTTATAACAGTTTTCAATTCATACCCAGATAGATAAGGCAGAAATATAGAGGTGTATATACATGGGTGAGTACACACGCTTCCCAGCGTGCCTGCTGAGATTTTGATGCAGTGATACCCAGGAGCAGTGAGTGTCCTAACGCCCACACCTGGGGATCTAAATACCATCCTCCAACAGTAGCACCCGGGTTCCTTGGAGAAGTGAATGATTCTCAGGCTGGAGTAGGAAAACCCAGGATGAGTCTGTAGTATCTCATGGTACTAGAAAGTAGGGAAGGGCTCCGAAAAGGTCAGAAACATATCAAAGGGCATGAAAAGACGCCCAGCAAACCTTTTGCGCAGCCTGCTGAATGCCTGGATTTAAGAAGGTGTGTTTCTGAGAAATTAATTGTAAATTAATAATTTCAGTTTAATCATGAAAAACATTAGATAAGCACAAATTAAAAGACATGCTTCAAAATAACTGGCCCATGTTCTTTAAAGTGTCAATCAAGTCATAAAGACAAAAATACAGAACAAAAAAGGAAACGTCACAGAATGGAAAGAACTAAGGTGATGGGACACCTGGAGACCCTTGATTGGATTCTGGAACAAACTTTAGTGGGAAAATTGGCGCAATTTAAATAAAGCATTTGGCTTAGTTCTGCTGCACCATGTTAATTTCTTGGTTTTGGCACTGTATCATCAGGCAAGATGTCCGTGTTAGGGGATGCCAAGCGAAAGGTATACAAAAATTTTCTGTATTGTTTTGTAACTTCCCCATTCAGTTCAAATTATTTCAAAAATACTTTTAATGGAGATGGCAAAATAGAAAGGCACTGAAAATTAAAGGCAATAGAGCAGATAGAAAGAGAGAGCAGGGCTTGATGATACTGTTTAAGCTCCTGGCCTGAACTAGGAGGGAAGCTAATTTACTCCAGGACTTCAGGGTTCTCGCTGAATAAAGGTGCAAGTAATCCAACCCTAATGATATACTAAATTTGGCTAAGTATATACAGTCACAAGCTATTAAAAATAAAGAAGGGAGGAAGGAGCTCATCAAGGAAAACATGAAACATGAAAATCATGTCATTAGTTGTGTTTTTAACCAGCCTCTGAAATGTTTGTAAGCCTGACTCCTCGGTTGGCCCAAAACTTTTGAATGCCACATTGATTATCAACTGATTTTGCTTTTTCCATAAGCAGAGTGCCTGCATCAATAGTGTGCTTGAGAAATAAAAGGCTCAGCTCTACATCTTTCCACTGGCCATGCCAGTGAACATAAAAGGCACATCATCTCCTTTCGGGGTAAGGCCTTAAAGATTTCTACCAAAGTGTAAACACTACGGGGAGACTATGTCCTGGATATATCATTAACCAGTAGCAACTTAGCATCAGTTTATAAACTGGACTCACTTCTGCCCCACGGGATAGGGTCTTGGAGCAATGGTGTGTAAGACAAGAAACTGGGGGGCTGGGGATTTAGCTCAGTGGCATAAGCACCTGCCTTGCAAGCAGGCAGTTGTGAGTTCGACCCCTGGTACCGATTAAAAAAAAAAAGGACAAGAAACTTAGTGAAGGATATGAGTGAGGAAGATCTGAAAAGGTGAAGACTGGATAGTATCTTTGGGATCCAGTTTAAAGGAACCAAAAGCAGAGAAGCCAGAGAGAGGAGCAGAGGGAAACGCAGAACTGCCCAGTGCTGAGGGCAGAGCCGCCAGGGATAGGAGCTGTTCCCAGTAACAACATGTTGTTCCCAGTAACAACATGAGCACGGTGAGAGGAGCACAGCAGATCCAGGCCACCACACAGATATGCAGGCTTTTCCCAGCCAAGAATACAGACAGCCAAGCCCTGCATCCTGGAAGGACCTGTCCCAGCACAAGGTGACATCTTGTCTAACTGTCCCAGCGGTTCACATCGCAAGGCTTTTGTTCCCATAGAGGATGTGTTGATAGTGCCTCTGCCCCTGGCTGCCTTCCTGTCCAGCTATGCACCTGAGCCTGGAAGCGTCGGAGACTGAGCATGGGAGGAGGCCGGCACTCAGGAAAAAGCTTTGCACCTCAATGCTCTTTGATGACAGAGCCATGGAGACAAATTCTACCGGACATTTTTGTGATATACCATCTGAGGAGGTGAGAAGTAAGGGACAATGGAGGAAAAAGTCCTCCTATTTTTGAGTAAAAACTCAAAAGTCCACCTTTGTCCCGTCTTCTATTGATTGCAGAAATAACTAACATCAAAATCAAGGAATATTTCACTTT